CATCCAAGTATTTACGTCATAGTCCACGTCAGTATGCACCCAGATCTGCGTCCGTGTCACTGTCTACGTCAGCATGCACCCAGATCTGCGTCCGTGTCACTATCCACGTCAGCATGCACCTCGGGATCCAGATTTCTGGGTCCTCGTCCGCATCGGGACATCTCTGCCCGCCTCATCATCCAAGTAATTACGTACTGGTCCACATCAGCAACCAGATCTGTGTCCACGTCAGCAATCAGATCTATCTTCGCATTAGCATTCAGATCTGCGTTCACATTAGCATCCAGATCGTCATCCACATCGGTTTTCATACCCCGTAGGCATCCACGTCAGCATCCACGTCAGCATCCACGCCAGCATCCACGTTAGCATCCACGTCAGCATCCACGTCTGCATCCACGTCACTGTCGTGGTACTCTTTGCAGCTGCGGCCTTTATGGTCGGCAGCCGGTGTCTATAGGCTGTGTGTGCTCTCGGCTGGATCAGGTTATTAAGTTTCATCATTTCAATGATTTCATTAAATTTAGTAATCAAATTTAATAAAATGATGAAAATTAATAACGAGAAGGAATTGCAGAGGAAGAATTAGCACATCGGGTGCGGTAGAAGTAATTTAAATGCGCACGTAAACAAATAATAGTAATACGTAAACAAGTAATAATAATATAAATAATAATATGTGTCCCCTCTTCTCCCTCTCTGCCAATGTTTCACCGCGCAGTTCTTGACGTGCCTGTCCTATCTGCCGGGGGTGGGGTGGGGGCTCCTCTTCCTGACTGGTCTCAATAGAATTAAGCGATCAGGAGCAACACTAATTGTAGAACAGATAAAAGAAAGAAAGAGAAAAAGTACAAAGTTCTGGAGAACAGAAAATAGAAAAAAGAAAACAAGAAAAAAGAACAAAAGAAAAAAAGATGTTGAACTTTGTAGTGACAGTGGCAATTGGTTTATCTGTGGGATGTGTCATTGGCTTTCTTCCCTTGTCTTTTCTTTGATTGGATCCCTTTCTCTTTCTCTTGCGTCTGTGAGGTCTGGTTTCCTCCTCCTTTTCTTTACCTCTTTTTTGCCTTTTGGCTGCGTGCAAGTGGGTCCTTGTGACACACGGGGATAGGGGCAGCCAGCGCTCAACCTGTCATCCACGTGGCTGGCCTTGTACGTAAGAGGTGATGAACAGGTGGGGCTTTCCTTCCTTACGTCTTTTCCTTTCCTTGTGTTGCTTTTTTTCGCCTTCGCGCTGTGATTCACAGTGTGACAATATATACCGTTTTGAACGAATTCTTGATCTTTTCCTTTGTAGCACGTATACATATTTATATCTGTATATACATGCATATTTATATAGCTATATGTATATTTATATTATTTGACGATATATATATTCAAACAGAGCTGCCCGGTAGAGGACAACAAACGAGGGGCTGTGACAAACTGTTTTGTCGGAGTTTCACCGACTCATCAGGATGGTATATATGTATATATGGATATATGTATGCTGTCATAAGGGAAGGACATGAAACCCGTGGGGGAGGTGAGCGGTCCCCACCACTGGCTACCGAACTCCGAAAATCTGAAAAGGCCCAAAAGGGAGAGATTGTGTGGTTGGAATTTTCACCGACTGCTTCGTCCAGAGGAGGAGGCTGAACGCTCTGCAGTCTGCAGAGTCCCCTTCCCCTAACAGATAGATAATAATACAGTTAATATACTGTTAAGGGCGTACTCACAATCGGACTTCTTTTACTTTATGGACGTATTTGTGGTCAGATACATACACGCCCGTCCGTCCGTAAGTGCGGTCAGATACATTTATTTAAGATAAAGCCAGTGTGTGTACTCAGTAAGTCATAATCCATCCGCCTTATCCCCCTCAACCCCTATCTTTTGCGGTCGAGCAATTACGACTGCCGCACAACTGACTGATAGCTTCGAGGAGGTGGGGACCACCAACTGCCCTCAAGGGTACCTGTGGCCCTCCAGACTGAAGAGTCTGCAGACTGCACTGTATGTTTGCCACCCCCCGTCATAAATAAGCCAGCCAAAAAAGAACCCCACTAAACAAAGAGGGATCTGTCGCCGCCAGAAATGGAAATAGTAAAATGCAGTTCAGACACAGCTCTGGCACTACCGCTTCACCCGATTAGAACGCCTGGTCATTATAACTGTATTTGGGGCAACTTGCAGTCTAGATGCAGTCATTATAACTGTATTTGGGGCAACTTGCAGTCTAGATGCAGCGATATGACTTTGATAGCTCCCTGGAACCGTTTTCGCCAGTTGGGTAGAGTGGCAGTTATGGGGGCACTCACTGCGCCGCCGTGCTGTGCCTCTCTACCGTCTTCGCGCCCGTTCATTGTCGCTGTATCTAGACTGCAAGTTGCCCCAAGTACAGCTGTAATGACCGGGAGTTCAAGAAAGGTGAAAACGTTAGGGCCAGAGGTGTTTCTAGACTGCAAGTTGCCCCAGGTACAGCGATAATGACCGGGCATTCTAGACAGGTGAAAACAGTAGTGGCAGAGGTGTGTCTGGACTGAACCCCCTTTCCGGTCTGTGAAAGACCCCTCTACCCATGTTCCTTTCCTCTCCCCCCCTACCTAGCCTCCTCCCCTCCCCCCCCCCGGACCCTCTTGATTGCTCGAATGAAGAATTGCGCCTCGGTGAACGGTATGGTTCTGTTTCAGACAGTCGCGACTCATTGTCATATTTCTCTTTGTTCCCCCCCTCCCTTTTTTTCACTCCACACCCATCCCACCCCACCCTCTTCCCTCTCCTCCCCCTTTGATTGCTTAATGAAGAATCACCATTCACAATGACCTGTCATATTCTTTTTGTTCCCCCTCCCTCCCCCGCCCTCCCCCCTCTCCTCTCTCTCGCAGGCTGGAATGCTTTCGCTGTGTTGCTGACAAACTCCGTCCTGTTTTCTTGCCTCGTACCAGATGGAAAACCGATGCTTAGGAATGGAGAGACGGGTGATTGGATCGGGACTTTTGAGGGGCACAAGGGTGCCGTTTGGGCAGCGTGTCTCGACCCCCCGGCACTCCATGCTGCAACAGCTTCAGCAGATTTTAGCGCGTAAGTCAGAATTCCATTCTCTGTGTTGATTGCAAGCAGCCAATCGCCGAGGCGCTTTGTCTTTTTTAATCTGTTGTGTGCGAAGGCGGTTTCTCTTTTTTTTTTTTTTTTTTTTTTTTTTTTTTTTCTTCTGTCGATGGGACGTATGTGAAATCGGCCGTTTTCCTCTCACAATTCTGTCTTTCCGTTGATGATTTGTGTTGCAAACAATTCTGTCGTTTGGTTGGTGACCTCTGTACAAACAATCGTCTTTTGATCGACGAGTCGTGTGCAAACGATTCCGTCGTTCGGCTGATGAGGTCTGTACGAACGACTCGGTCTTTTGGGTGATGGTGATGAGTTGTGTTCAAGTGAAAGGCGTTAGGGAAAAAAAGAAAAAAAAAACAGGAGAGGGAAAGACTTGCTCAAGAATTTGACAAGAGGACTGTGCGGATGCCAGGCAGCAGTCGCAACGGCGAGAACAACCTGAGAGCAGATTTTCGTCTCATCATTTCATTTTTTTTATTTACATCTTAGCTAGTGTGTAAGGCGTTTTGGTGTTTTCACTCAGTCGGAGAGTCGTCGAATCGGGTCGTCTTGTCGTTCTTTGTTGTATTGTGTTGTGTTGCGCAGCGGTTTGGATGGCATAGTAAGTCGTTTCGGTGTCTTCACTCAGTCGTTAGGAAACAAAAGACAGAATCGGCGATCTCCGTGTCAGAACTGGATGCAGATGGGATGTCAGGACACTGAGATGTGTTTGCAGATATCGCCATGTTTGCCACTCCAGACGTCATCAGCCTGCTTTCCTAAACCGACAGGTGTTTGCAGTGTCTCAAGTCTTTGCCCACGTGAGAACATAGGCAAACACGTGTCAGAGTTGTGACACCCTGTGTTCTCGCAGCTCCTCTACCCATGCAAACAAATGCCATGGAGGGACAGTCAGTGATTGCTGCACTTGGAGGTGGAAGTCCTTGTGTCCTGCACTTGCAGGACAAACTAGTCGTTGTGGTTGTCGGTGTGCTCATTTTTCTAGTAATCCTCTCTACTGCCTATTACGCAATGTGTCACATGTGCATGTGTGTGTGTTATGCGTATGCAATGTGGTCTGTGCGTGCATGTGTATGTGATTCGTGTTGTGTATGTGATGCGTGTCTGTGTATGTGAAGTGTGTGTGTGTGTGTGTGTGTGTGTGTGTGTGTGTGTGTGTGTGTGTGTGTGTGTGTGTGTG